AGATATTTTTTGAGCTTTTTCATGTTAGGCATAGCCCTGCTAGTACATACCACACATATTTAGAAAAAATATAGCTAAAATACAAAAACAATAAGGAAATTCCAGCAGATAGAGCAATTTGCTCATACAAGTATGATGTCTATTACCTTTATAAAAAATTTTAAATATATCTATTGGTGTGAAAAACAAGAAAGTAATGTTTGATTATTTAGCTGAAGAAATTACAAAATTTAATAACAGTAAAAAAGAAGATATCTGGATGCAATCTTACATTGCTCTAGTAGAGACTAATCCTAGTCAACCATTTATTTTCATCATTCTAACAAATCTAATGAAATGCTGCTATAATTTACAGCAAGCTAGTGAATTAATATATATAGATACAATAGCCAGTCTTGACATTCTTAACATGCCATTAACTATTATTTCAACTAGTATACCAGTTAAAGGGTTACCTTTAGCTATAATACTTACTTCAGATAAAACAACTTAAACCTTCACAAAAGCTTTGGGTGCATTGAAAAATATATTGCCATTAGGTACATTTGGTGAGCATGGGCCTATAACCAGGCCACAAGTTATTATGACTGATAATTGTAATGCAGAGAGAAATACATTACATTGTATTTGGAAAAAGACAACTTTGCTCTTATGTGTTTTTTATTTTTTGCAAGCAATATAGAGATAGCTATGGGATGGCAAACATGGAATTAGTATGGTTGATTGTATTACTTTAATTGAGTATTTAAAAAAGATTGTTTTTTTTAAGACCAAGACCATATTATATAGAGAATATATGTCACTTATAACTAGTGAAACATATATTAAATATTCTCAATTTCAAAAGTATTTCAAAGTTGTATAGAACAGGCATAAAGAGTGAGCCATTGTATTTTATCACCAATTGCCAATTCGAAATAATAATATGAATAATTTTACAGAGACTAGGATTTGGATTATTAAAGATATTGTCTTCAAACATATACAAGCATATAACTTGGTTTAAATTTTTAATTTTATTATTAGTACAATAGATCTTTACTATACTCACAATTTGCTAGCAGTAGCTCATAATAAGTTGGATGGTTTTATCACACTCCGTTTTTGACTCTCAGGCTAGAAAGTTAGACCAAAAGAAGACATTGAGATAGTAAGCTTTGATTTGATAGTTTTTAAGTATAGAAGTAGTAAAAATAAAATTGTATAGTATATTGTGGATATGCGACTTGGAATTTGTAAGTGTAATGAGGTGGGGCGCCTTGTAAACACCAAAATTCAATAGCATTCCACTATGATGTTTGTGGCCTAAACCAAATATCTACAATGTCATTAAGTAGTAGATACCAATATGCTTATCTGGCATTGGGCAAAAAATGCAAAAAGATTAATTTCTATACCAATATTTATCAAGCACAACATGATCAAGAGTTTATATACACAACAGTAGAATCTGCATCTATATCTTTTACAAATGTTGATAATAATTTAGTTAGTGAAGGAAATTATAATAAATACAATGATCTGGGCAATGAGAAAATACTTCCTGAATCTGTGCCCTTTTTGCCTTTAAATAATAGTGAAAGTGATACTGAGGATCAAGATAATGAGGGCAAAAATAATCTCAATCACCAATAAATGAATTATGTTGGTTTAGCTGTGATTTGAAAAGTCTTCTTGAGGAAAAGAATCCCGTATTAGATAAAGGTATATGTAAATTTGTCAGAAGCTACAAAAAATATCAGTCTGCTCAAGATACTTACATTCGTCCAGCAGTAGCTTCTTTTCTTGAAATCTGCGATTAGAATGCAGGCTGAGTTAATGGCAATATTTATCAGCATGGAGATAAAGAAATTAAAGTACAAGTTGCTGCAGCTACTAGACACAAAAAAGAATCAACTCATAATCTTAAAAAAATGCCACAAGGGTGACCAAAGAAAAATAGAGAAAATTATTTGCATGAAATTGAAGAACCAAATTGGTTTATTTTGCCTGCATGATCAAAGAGAACACATGTCAAACGTCCACATGACTTACAGCAAGCTTTGAAAAAAATACAACCCAATGGGTATTAGATATAATAATTACTACGTAACAAAAAAAAATTATTATTCTATGTAGAAAATAATTTTTAAAGATCATTATTCTTGAATTAATTTTTATAAAAAATTCTGCTTTTTTTCAAAGAAAACTTTTATCAAATTGAAATTGGTTTCTCAATGTATCCAAATACTTAAATTTATAAATTAGATCCTCATTTACTACAAAAAAAAAGCAATTTTTCTTAGATTACTTGGGATTTATATAAAATTTTATAAAACTAGTTTAATAGTTAATGCAAAACAATAAACTTTATAAAATTTTATAACAATTAAAAGTAAGCTAGCTTGACTATGGTACCGAGTTCGAATCCCACTGGCGACGTTTCGGACAAAAATACCTGTGTTATGGTAACA